GTGAATTCCCTTTGCCATCAGGGTGGACTGTGGAGGGATGGTAACGCACATGGCCTGTAAAATGCCTTCCACCTGGGAGATTCTTTGGCCCAGTGCTGACACCCCAGGCCCAGGGAAGTGCAGGTTTTGAAGGGCATGTGGAAAACTTTGTCAAGATGCTAATTGCTGGGCTCAGGGGCAACTCTCAAGGGGCACCATCACATGAAAGACGAACCCAGTGAAAGGCTTTAACCCAGTTTGGACCAAGTCCTGGATACCTCTGGGAGCGAGTCTGAGCACAGAGCTAGGAGTAGTTCCTGAGCATCCAAGGTGTGGCCCAAGATAACTGTTCCTCTGTCCACAGGACTGAAAAATGGGACACTCACGGGACAGAAGCAACAACAAGGATACCAGGGCTGAAGGATGAATATACCCCAGCACAGGGTATTCAAATATTTGTCCTGTTTCCTTGGATGAAAATACAACAAAAAGAGACTCTGGTACTTAAAACAAAAGTTACCTGACACTGAACTTGAAATATAAAATGTGGAGAGTCACATCCAAAACACCCACCTAGGGTAGTGAGGGTGATTTACAAGGGGGTTGGGGGGGTTGGAGAGTGTGTGTGTGTGTGTGTGTAAGCAACTTTTCCTCGTGGCTGGAACCATCTTCCCGGGCTCTGATGGATACTGGCAGGCACACCTCAGAGAGGAGACTCATGCACCAGGAATGAGGAAGTGGTTCACGGGGCAAAGAGCACTGAATGAGAGTTAGCAACACATCCCAGATCAGGGCCCTCCTGGACTCCGCAGAGTTGTGGCATCCCATACAAAATGAGGATGGTACTTCCCCACATGGAGGGGAGGTCAAATATGCAAGGACCGTGGAAAGGCAAAATGCTTTATCTGACACCGGTGCTATCCCTTCCCTGATCCTGGGTGAAAGTGATTCCCAAGGGCTCTGTCAACCTGAAGGGTTTCCCTCACAGTCCAGAATTTTCTCTATTTCTAGTGTTTTTTCAGTCATGTCAATGATGCTTTGACTGTATTTTAGGTGGAAATATTAAATTCAATCTGAAGGAGCAGCACTGATTTTATTATTATAATGCCAGGTACCCTCAAAGGACCTTAGGAGAAAGTATCATATTTGATTCTTATTTTTCACTTTTTGGCATGGGAAAGGTATTAGGCCATATTCAGCAGTCCTCGGGGCTTACTTCTGTCTCTGAGTTTGGGTGTTGCTCCTGGCAGTGGCTCCTGGCAGTGTTTCAGGGACCATATGCAATGCCGGGGATCAAACCATGTTCAGCTGTGTACAGGGCAAGCACCTTAACCTTTCAGTTATCTGTATGACCCATTTTTTAGCTTCTTAGCACAATGCCAAGGTGAAGAAACCAGGTTATTCCTGTTTTATGAGATAGTTAAAGTTCAATGAATATAGGGAATTCATACAAGGTCTCATGATCACTGCTAGAGATGTGATTTGAACTCAGACCCTCAGCCTCTGTGGCTGAGTATGCCTTTTACTAACAGAATGATCCTTCTTCCAGTGTCTTAGAGACTATGGTGGGCATGCGGGACCTTCTCAGGTTGTTCGAGAGATCCGTGAATACTAAGGCTCTATGTAGCTTCACATAAAGAGCTACTTGTATACAGCATCTTCAAAAATAATCCACATGTGAAATCGCTATTTCTATAATAATCCTTACTTTTACATCATCTTCATAGAGCAATCGAGATATATCAGACACATTCTAGTTGACCACATATATTAAAGTTTCAAATCTATATCCTGGCAAACCGTGTCTAATGCCCATGAACTTATCTTTGGGGAAAATGTATTCCACTGCTTCTAAAAGAGCTCCCTTTCCTTATAAAACACTGGGTATTCAAAGACAGAAATAAAGAAAAAGTTGCAGGGGATTGAAGACAGAGATCTGACCTCACCCAGCACCCTCCTCAGCTTCTGAGCCTATCACATGGCCAGGTTCATTGCTTCTTTAAGTTTCAATTTCTCCTTCTAGCACCTGCCTTCCTGGTTCATCATCAAGTGTGCATTCCATAGCACACAACGCCTGCCTTCAATCATACTCAGCAACTTTTTCTTCCTTGCCAATAAAAGATAACATATAAGAGTTCTCATAACTGAGGTGATTATGGAAGAGGCTCTTAGTTTCGCTGCAAACCTAAATAATTTTCCATCTATCTACAACGATCTACCTCACTTGGGACTAATCAACAACCACACAGAGAAATGAAAGCACAGAAGAGCGTTTTCTAAAAGCCAGCTTTAAACTCTGGGACTGTGGACACAAGGCATAAAACCGTAGCACCAGGTACACAAACGGAGACGAAATGGAAGTCTTCCCTTGTTGATCCAAGTGCCCCAAGAGACTGGCTCCCTTCTTTCTAAAAGGCATTTTGGGGACTTATTGGAAGGTTAAATGATTGAGTCAAATGGACTTAACTCCACAATCTGGCCCTTCCACTCATTCGTGGATTGGAAAAGTTGCTTAACTTCCATCTCAATTTCCTCTTAGGGCTTATGATAATATGTTTATGAAGTATCTCCTGTACCAGGTGGTAGCCAGTGAAATGAGATGGTAATATGTAAATCTTAGAGTGCATATGTGGTGAGCGGAGAAGCAGGACTGGCTTAATATATTGCACTGGGACTTGGGTAGGTCTGCTGCCTAAATCTTGGGGATCTGAGCCAATGCCAGAAAAAAAAATCAAAGTAAGCTATCCTGGGCTGGGGTGATTTATTCCTGTGTTTTTTTGCCCCATTCCCTCCCAATTCTCCAGCCCAGGCCGGGGTCTCAGATAAGCAAGGCATTTCATAGCGGGGTAGAGAGGGCCCCACTCTGCTCTAAATCCTCCTGACTTTGGTCTTTAGGTCAAGGCTTGGAAAACCTGCCACTGGCCCCATTGATCAAAGCAATTCCCACCTGATGGTTTGTTTCCAGAAACCGATAGCTTGGCAAGATTCTCTGGGCTCTTCAAGTGTGGTTGCAGGTCCATACTCCCCTCCTGTACCCTCCCTCCAAGATTTCTAGCTCTATTGTATTTCTTTTTTCTGTGCCTTTGCTTGGATTGAAAGTTCCAACTCCTTGCCTTTAAGATATGTTCCATATTGTGTGTCTTTATTTGAGGGGTGGGGATTGAGAAATTCACACCATGAAGCTGACCGTGTGGTGCTGCGGATAAATTTAGGAGTCCCACATGCAAAGAAAGTGTTTCAGCTTTCAGCCTTTTGGGTCATCTCCTCTGCCCCTTCTTTTGACTTTTAAGTCCAAGACCAGGAAATAATACAGTGTCTAGGGCTCATGCCTAGCAAAAACCTGACCTCAGTTCAATTCCTGGCAAAACATGGTGTCCCTGAGGGTCCCAGGTGCAGTCCTAGAGGTCCCTGAGCACTGATAGGTGTTCCTGGAGGCATCCAGCATGGCCGCAGGAGCCACACATTCCCCCCTCCCCCCCAGCACTGCAGGGACCAAGCAGCATTGCATCTGCAGGCACATACTCTAAGTCGCCAGCCCAGGGGGTTGAGAATTCCCAGTGGGGTCCCTCGGCATCTTGAGGACACCTTAGTAAGATCCCCCCGCCACACATAAACAAAATAAGACCAAGTTCAGTTGAGCCTTGGAGATGACTCAAAACACATCCTTTGGCTTGTCAGATATGACCCCTAAGCACTGAACCTGGAGAGCCTCTGAGCATCGCTGGGTATGGCTCAACCAAATAATAATAATAGTGGTAATAATAACAAAGATCAGTTTGAAAGAAAAGTTAACGGAGAAATCCTAGAGGGGCAAAAATCAGATCTGAAGATCTAAATGGGAAAGTACTTTCATGTCAGTTACTCACTCTCATTATCTTTACAAGACTTAATATAGTCCGTGCTAAACTGCTGGTAAATTAACACTAAATCTTGCTGAACTTGAAATATTTGTGCTCTGTTATTAAGTATGCTTCCCTCCTCCACCAAGGTAAGGGAATTTACTACATAATGTTTTTTTTTTTTAACTCAGTAATGGAACCAAATATGCCAACATCCCACTTGGTTAATGAGCAAAAGATTCTTTAGACCTGCAAAATGATGCAATGCAAACATTTAAAAATAGACTAGACTAAATTCTACACAAGAGTCAAAGTCTATAATTGCACGATGATGACTATGCATCATAAGTGTGGAACCTATGCAATTCAGTACACAGAAAAATTAGGTGCAACCTTTGCAACAGAGTATCATGGGCTCTGCTAACTCCCATCCTAACTCCCAACACTTGGGGGCTGGAGCGATAGCACAGTGGGTAGGGCGTTCGTTTGTCAACCCGGGTTTGATTCCCAGCTTCCCATATGGTCCCCTGAGCACCGCCAGGAGTAACTCCTGAGTGCAGAGCCAGGAGTAACCTCTGTGCATTGCCCGGTGTGACCCCAAAAAGCAAAAAAAAAAAAAAAGGAAGTAAAAACAATGACACAAAAGTGTTTGCCATAGAGGCAGGCTGGAGAGAGGGCTAGGGAGGGAAACTGGGGGCATTGGTGGTGGAAAATGTACACTGGTGAAGGGACGGGATTGGAATATTGTGTGTCTGAAACCCAATCATGAAAAGCTTTGTAACTGTGTATCTCACGGTAATACAATCAAAATCAACAAATAAATAAAACAATTTTATTATTATTATTCTTACAAAAGAGGAAAGGCCAGATCCTTTACTATGTCTCTCAAGATAGTAAGGCCAATAAAGCGCTTGCCCTGCACATAACTGACCCTAGTTCAATCCCCAGCATCCCATCTGGTTCCTATATGATTCCTGAGAACAGAGCCAGGAGTAACCCCCGAACACTACCAGGTGTGGCCCGAAATCAAATAAAGAAATTTAAAAGGTACCATACTATTATGTACACTGACATCAAAAGAGTGATTAGCACCCCATTCATCTCAAACTGGCGGCCCCTGTCCCATGAGAATATCCTTCCGCATCACACACGAGCCCCACTCGGCAGCGTTCTTGGACTCACCATCCTTTAATCTTTTTGTACAGGTGACGTTTCTTGTACAGGAGGACTTTGACGGGAACCCAGATCAGCAGAGTCGTGGAAGCCACATAAGCAATGGAGCAAGAAACAATCATCCAGTAATGTGTTCTCTCGGGCGTGGTCAGCATGCCCTGGTAGGATGAGGCGAACTTCTCCACAATCACCAGGGTGGGGACGGAGAAGGCCACAAACTCCAGCAGCTCAAAGACCACCAGCTTGATGGTCTTTCCCGAAATCATCTTGCACGCAGGTCAGCTGCAGGCGAGCTGAGGCATATGGACACAGGTACCAAACTGGGATCAAGTTCCTTGTGCTCGAATCACTACCCAGAGACTTTTTATTCCTTTATTGACCCTCATACGGTTCAATGATCACCCAATGAAGGAGCAGCTGAAGTCTCTTAAAGAGACAGGAGCCAGCGTTGGAAGAGATGCCTTAATGTGTTTGCACACCTGTGGCCAGAAGCCAGCTAGATTGCCGGGGAGAACGGTTGGAGGGGGCGCTCTGACAAAACACCATTTCTCCAGGCCCTGTCGATTGCTAATTTGAACACAGCAAACATGTGTGATGTGTAAGCCCTAGCTAAGTGGGATCATTTGGAAGAGGATTTTAGAGTTAAAGAGGAAAAAAAGAAAAACACCAGTGATTTCTCCATCCCCTGCTTTGAGATCCAAGCAAAGAGAGAGACCCCCCTCAAACCTGAAGTCTCCTCTTGGAACTGGGCTCCCACGGCTGCTTCAGCATGCCCCTTGCCAGCTCCCTCACTTGTTCTTCTTCCTGGTCCTTGAAATATTTGTCATGGCAAGCTAATTGCCATGTAACACAGATTAACGTTGCTTTTATTTTGCTAGTCAGGAAATGAACAAGGTGCTATTAGAAACCTGTTAGCAGGTTTAACAGAGAAAGAACTGTTGACATCTTACTGGAAAAGCATATCAAATATTTAGAAAACAACTGTTCCTCTGAGCAATTCCCTTCCAAACCTCTCTCTAGTTTGCCTCGGATGAGCATGTGCTGGGATGTGAAGATCAACATGGAAAAGTTGCTGCCTAGGAAAGGGTCAGAGTGCAAGGGGGGCAGGGACAGGAAGCCACGGAGGGCTTCTGTGGGCTGCGGGAAGAAGAGGCCGAGAGGGGAATGGAGAAGATCCGGCCAGAGAGATAGCACAGTGAGTAGGGTGTTTGCCTTGCACGCAGTCGACCAGGGTTTGATCCCCAGTTTCCCATATAGTCTCCTGAGCTCCGCCAGGAGTAACTCCTGAGCACAGCCAGATGTGGCACAAAAAAGAAAAAACAAGAAGGGGTGGAGAGTGCAGGCCTTGACTATGGGCAATGGGGTGCTGGGCACTTTTCCGATGGAATATAAGAGGTGGGAAGTACCAAGTGTTAGGAAAACAGGGAAGGCAGGGCTGGAGTGATAGCACAGCAGGTAGGGCATTTGCCTTGCATATGGCCAACCCAGGTTCGATGCCCAGCATCCCATATGGTACCTGAGCACTGCCAGGATTAATCCCTGTGCATCGCCTGGTGTGACTCAAAACAACAAAGAAAAAAACTGAAACAAAAAACAGAGGAAGGCATTAGGAAACTAGTCGGAACTGCTCCCTGCCTAGGTTATCTGTCTCAGAACACAGAAGTGTGAGTGTAAAAAGATCCAAGCACGCTTTTGTTGACTGCAGCGTTCTGTTCCACAGCCAAGAGAAAGATGCAGACGGTGATATTCTCCTCAGCTTCTGAGCTGCCCAGATGAGTACAACTCAATCATGTGAACTGGAGAGACAGTGCCAGGGGCCAGGTTGTTGCCTTACACAGGCAGAACCTGGTTCAAAGCCTGAGCACCACCGAGTCACAGCTGGGCAAAGAGCTAGGAATAGCCTCTGAGCATTGCTGGGTGTGTCTCACCCCACATCAGAAAGAAAGACAAAAATACACATTGCCTTTACACAACACAGGTGGAACCAGAAGGTGTCACATCCAGAAAAATAGGTCAGAGAAACACTGAATGGTCTCATTTGCGTGGAGTATAAAGCAGCAAGAAAATTGTCAGCATCTGACCAAAGCAAGTCCAGACCCTGATCAGCTGGAGGGCAGGTGGGGAGGGTATCTGGGCTGCAGTGGAGGATCTGGGGGTGGGGAAGGCACCCCCAAACCCAGGAATGCTTCCTCACAGCCCTCCAGGGCTGCTTTTTGCCTTGCAGCCACATTCCCATGCTCAGTGTCACCTACAGAGAAGTAGAAGGGAATGATTTTGTCTGGCTTTGGCGAAGGAGCGAAAAGAAAGGGGTGGAGATAGCCAGAATCTGGAAACAACCTGAGTGCCCAAGAACATACGAACGGATAAAGAAACTATGGCACATCTACACAATAGTATGCAGCTGTCAGGAAAAATGAAGTAATGAAATTTGCCTATAAATGGATGGACATGGAGAGTATCATGCTGAGTGAAATGAGTCAGGAGAGGGACAGATATAGAATGAATGCATTATTTGTGGTATATAATATACATATATATATTAAAAGAATAATATCCATGACCATGGTAAAAAGGAGTTAGGAGGACTGGTCAATGGTTGAAACTACCCACAAGTGTGTGGAAAACTTGAGGGTAGGTAACATAGAGAAGAGACTACTATGACAATAATAGCAGGAAATGGTCATGCTGGACAACATCTGAGGGTTAAAAATAGGTAAGGGATTTTCTTGATAACCTTTCAGTATCAATATTAAAAAGCACAATTCCCAAGAGAGAGAGAGAGAGAGAGAGAGAGAATAAAAGTACCTGCCTCTGTGGCAGGCAGGGGGTAGGAGTGGGTATGATGGGAGACAACCTGGGGACACTGGTGCTGGGAAATGTACAGTGGTGGAGGGAAGGGTGTTGGAACACTGTGTGAATGAAACCAATCATGAACAGCTTTGCTATGCTCTAAAATAAAAAAAAAATAAAATAATTTTTAAAGGGGTAGGGGAGAGAAGCACCAGGAACAGCGCAGAAGGCCCATGTGCATCCAGCTGGTGCCATGTGAATTTGATTTGTTTGGAGTATTTCTAATGTCCACGCCTGGGAAACAGCCCACGGACACAGGGACTGAAGGAGCAATGGAGACCCAACTCCATGCCACCAAGCCAGCCCAGGAACCCCACTGTTCACACTTTGGGGACCAACTTCACAGAACAATGATTGTGTGTTTGTTTACCCCAGGGCCCACCCTGTGGTGCTCAGGGGCTATTCCTGGCTCAGTCTCAGGAGGGATCCTTGTTAGTGCTGGGGGCTCGAATCAGAGTCAGCAGGACACGAGCCAAATGCACCCTGTACTTACCCCCGGTACCATCTCTCTGGCCTAATGACATCATTTTCAACTGAAAATGAGATTGTGTTATCCATACTGTTCCACCAAGCATCCGCTCTCATTGGCTTTCCCTCTCGCCAATGCGTGACTTGAATATTCTCCAAGCTACTTCTCAAAGCAACGCACTCTCTTTCTCTCTCTCTGATTTCTATAGCAATAGGTATTTCTATAGCCATTTCTATAGCAATAGGTATTTCTAGTGATCAAACTCTCATTGTCATACCGTTGTTCATTGATTTCCTTGAGCAGGCACCAGTAACATCTCAATTCGTCCTAGCCCTGAGATTTTAGCAAGTGCCACATTGGAGGCTCTTTCAGGGTCAGGGGAATGAGACCCATCATTGTTACTGGGTTTTGGCATATCGAATATGCCTCGGGGAGCTTGCCAGACTCTGCTGTTTGGGCAGGATACTCTCGGTAGCCTGCTGGGTTCTCTGAGAGTGAGAACTAGACAATAGAGGTCATGTGGCCACAAATGTGCCACACACTTCCGGAAGTTTGGTTTTATAGTTTCTGGATCCTGGCCATTTATGGGATTACATGGCGTCGGAGGCAGTTGGTGGGTGTAACTGTCTAGCTACCAGAAGATGGGGAATCTGGGTAGAGGAGGCCCAGTCCCAATCCAAGCAGCCTTGGAGATCTCAGTCCCGGGTCTCGCACACCTGGGTTCTTCTGCCGGTTCCTTCATGCATGAAGCTTGTCCGAGCGTGTGGAGAGTGGTCTTAGCATGGCTGTGGCTGGGTTCCGGAGTTCTTCAGCTTCCGGGGCTCTGCTTAGGGAGGGGAGGGACATTCAACCTGCCCCCTCCAAGAGGCCCCAGTGAGGACAGCCAGGCACGGTGTCAGGAGATTCTGTGTTGCTCTCTTCAGGGAGCTTGGTTTTATAGTCACAGAAGGAACCGGCAGAGGAACCCAGGTGTGTGGGACCCGGGGCTGAGATCTCCAAGCCTGCTCAGATTGGGACTAGGCCTCCTCCACCCAGATCCCCCATCTTCCAGTAGCTAGACAGTTACACCCAATAAATGCCCCTGGCGCCATGTAATCCCATCAATGGCCAAGATCCAGTTCTAGTGATTAATAGAGGGGGAAAAAAATCAATGCAGACCCCAAACTCACCTTCTCTGAGAAGACTTCTGTGATGCACTCTAGATGTTTCCCATTTTCTCCTTTGAATGATCCAGTATTAGTTGCTGCTGGTGTTTGTTTGGGGGACACACCCAAAAGTGCTCAGGACCTACTCTTCCACTTGAGAGGATCATGCAGTACAGAAGCCCAAGTGTGTTTTGGTATCCAACACCTTCCCTAGAGTGTCTGCACCCTAGGGAACCCCCAAGGACTGCACTCCTGCTTTTTTTTTCTTTTTGGGTCACACCCAGCGATGCACAAGGGTTTCTCCTGGATCATGCACTCAGGAATTACTCCTGGTGGTGCTCAGGGGACCATGTGGGATGCTGGAATCAAACCCAGGTCGTCCACGTGCAAGCCAAACCCCCTACCCGCTGTGCTATTGCTCCAGCCCCCCCCACCCCAACACAATCCTGTTGGCATACAACACGGGCACTGTCTGAGCACCATCATTTCTCAGCACTGTCCTGGAATATCGCTGGGCTGTACCAATTGTACTGCCAGTAATGGAAGAACATGGAAGGAGCATGGGCAGACCACGCATGGCTCGGGTTTGGCTGAGAAGGTTTTGGTGTTCCCAGAAGTCAGAACTAACAACTTCCTAGCAGGGAGCAGAGCTGGTTTTGTAAAGAGCGGCCCGGGGTGCAAAAGCTGACTTTTGTGGTTAGAACTCACTTCCATGTGGGAGTGTTGATGCAGGGCTTTTTATTTTAGTAAGCAGAAGATATCGCACTGAGCAGGGGAGGACACCTACTCGCCACACTTCCAA